AGGACATTGCACTAGGATGACGCCATCCTTTCGGAGTAAAGTATGCAGGAAGTAAGTAAAGCAAGTCTCTCTTTCTCTCCCGCGCGCGTAATGGAAGTCAAAGTATTTATCACACACTGCACCGAGAGAGAGAGAGAGAGAGAAAGAGAGAGAAGGAGACTAGGCAGGTAAAGAGAGCTTCTATGCGCACAATACCGATAACATAACATATATGCCATAAAGAGTAAGAAACCGTATGTGCAAAGCGAATGTGGCCAAGAAGGTAGATTTATGGGGTAGGGGGAGGAGAGAGAAAGAGAGAGAGAGAGACAGAACCCTATGTTTGTGTCGCAGGTCAGACCAGGTTCACGGTCACGGGGACCAAACCGATCGCCCATAGTCTGACCACCTAACATAACCCGACCACCGCATAAGCTAAATTACACCCTCTCACTAGTGAGAGAGTTGGTATAGCATTAAATTTATTAAGACCGCAAGAAAATTTGTTTTCAATTCTCTTCAAATACACAATTGTTTATACATCTCTCTTTCTCTCTCTCTCTATATATATATAAACATGATTCTTACATCTATATATATATTCTCTTTTATATAAAACAAAAGTTAATATTTTCACGATTTCACTTATTCTCGCGTGTGTAAAATTACAATCAAGAAAGTCAAAGAAGAAATTTATAATTTTAGCCAACAAAGCGAGCAAAGAGGGGAAAAAAATATTGTAATATATTTTTATATAATTTAATTTTAATTTTCAAACACCGCAATATACAATATGGAAACACTATACGGTATGAAGATGAGCAGAGAGAGAGAGAGACAATATAAATAAAGACTCACGCTGTGACGACGACAATTATTTTAATTAAAGAGCTCGACTCCATATTGAAATAAAAGAAATGTAAAAGTTAAATTATCTTATTCAATTTTATAATTAAACAATTCTCATTATTATTTTTACCATTCTCTTCCTATATCTCTCTTTTGGTATTAATTCAAATTTCACACTTTATATTATAACAAATTAGTGTGGAATTTAGCACACATTTTATACAGTAATAAAATAATAATAAGAATAATAAGAGTAATAATAAAAATAAAAAAATACTACTAAAAGAATAAAGTATTTATGTTACTAAATAAAGTTTGTTAGTAATAATACTAATATTATTATTAATATAATATTTTTTAATAAAATAAATCAATTTTTAAAATAATAGTATATAAAAATTTTCTAATTTAATTTTTTTTTGAAAACACTAAAAGAAATTCAATTTTGGAGAAATTACAAATAATTCCAGAAATTCAATTATTTTCAAAAAAAAATTAAAATTCAACTATGTTTAAAATTTAAAAAAAATTCTCGTAAAAATCCCAATTATCTTTATAAATAACAAAATTTTTCTCCAAAGTTCAATTATTTTCATAAATGTCAAAAATATTCTTGTCCTAATTTCAATTATTTTCAAAAATAAAATGCATTTTTCTAACTTCAAAGATTTTCATTATATCTACTATTATAATAAAATTTCCCAAAAATAATTCAATTATTTAAAAAATTTTTTTAAAAAAATTGTATGCAAACACTTTATTATTTTTATAAATAATAAAAATTTCCCAAGAATTAAATTATTTTCGAAAAAATTATAATTCTTCTTAGAAAATTCAACTATGTTCAAAGTTTGAAAAAAATTCTCGTAAAAATCCCAATTATCTTCATAAATAACAAAATTATTTTTAAAAATTCATGCTAATAATGCTTTTAATATTCAATTATTATTTAAAATTCTAACTAAAATTAATTTTTAAAAGATAATGTTTATCAGAAAATTCCTACAAGAATTCAAATTATATAAATACAAAAATAAAAAATTTATAAAATAATTGAATGTTTCTTAAAACTGAATTCACATAATGATTTTTTTCAACAAATTTTTAAATAATTGAATTCTTTTGACGAATTTAAATAAATTTTTTAAGAATAATTATTACATTTCTCGAGGAATTCGATTCAAAATTATATTAAAAATAATTTAAATTATGCGATAATTTTTATTATATTAATAAAAATAATTAAATTTCTAAAAAATTATTGTTTATTTTTAATTATAAAAATAATTAAAATTCTGACACTTTTTTATTAAAATTTTTAAAAATAATTAAATTTCATAGAAGAATTTTATTATTTATAAAAATAATTGAAATGTTTCGAAGAATTGTATTAAATTTTTTGAAAATAATTGAATTACAAAGAATTTCATTGTTTATTTTTAATTATAAAGATAATTGAAATTTTTCCAAGAATTTTACTAAAATATTTAAGAATAATTGAAATTTATTAAAAAATTTTTTTTTAATTTTTGAAAATAATTGAATTACGAAAAAGAAATTTATTGTTTATTTTTAATCATAAAAGATAATTGAAATTTTTCCAAGAATTTTATTAAAATTTTTGAAAATAATTAAATCTCCGAGAAGAATTTTATTATTAAAAAAATAATTGAAATTTCTCCAAGAATTTTATTAAAATTTTTGAAAATAATTGAATTCGAAGAAGAATTTTATTATTTATAAAGATAATTGAAATTTCGCCAAGAATTTTATTGAAGTTTTTGAAAATAATTGAATTACGGAAAATAATTTTATTGTTTATTTTTAATCATAAAGATAATTGAAATTTTTCAAAGGATTTTATTAAAATTTTTGAAAATAATTAAATTTCAAAGAACAATTTTATTATTAAAAAAATAATTGAAATATCGCCAAGAATTTTATTGAAGTTTTTGAAAAGAATTGAATTTTAGAGAAGAATTTTACTATTTTTAAAGATAATTGAAAATTTAAAAGAATTTTCAAAATTTTTGGACATAATTGAATTTCAAAGAGGAATTTTATTACTCTCGACAATAATTAAATTTGACCAATTAATATTCATAACTTCTCGAAAATTAAATTTTTTAAGTGTTTTTAGCAAAAATTCTTCTATAAATCCATTATTTTCAATAATATTTAATCAAATTCATATTAAAAAATTTAACTATAATTTCAGAAAAATTTTAAAAATTATTACAATTTTTCAAAAATCAATTTCTATAAAATTTCTAATTTAATTCATTCAAAATTAAAATTTCATAAAATTTAAAATGAAAACCTTTCGAACACTTTTAAAAAAATGAAAATAAATTTTTAGCCCTAAGTGCTTGACGCAGGTAAATATTTGTTTAAATCTAACTCTAAATTGTGTCTCTATTTACAGAGAAGAAAAAACGATAAGGAATTTTAAGACCCACTTTTCTCGGCCCCTCTACATTGTCAAAGTGATGTAATATGTTTTTCATATTTATGAAACACTAAAACTAATAAAATTAATAAAATAAAAAATAATAATAAAATGTAGAATAATAAAATAAAAAATAATAATAAAATAATAGATAAAATAATGATATAAAACCTGAATAATATAATAAAATAATATAATAAAGTAATGAAATAAAAATAGATTGAAATAATAAAACAAAATAATTAAGTAATTACAAAATATATAAAAAAAATCATCAAATGAAAAAAAATGACTAGCACATAACTTTTTTTGCAAAATATTTTAGTTATGGAAGATAAATGTTCTCCAGACTGAGATATTAGATTCTAAATGATCAATTTTCAAGACACCTCTTCTCACAACACGAAGAAAATGAAACACGTTTAGGAGAGAAAGGGGAAACTTATATACTTTTCTATTACGGAGCAATTATCCAATTACCGCGTTTACATTGAAGACTAAATATAATTACACTACTATAACTATATGTATATATTTGAATGCGAAAGAAATTATTGACCTTCAACTAAAAAATACCTTCGCCGACATTATATGCAGAATATTGCACTCCCTGGACCACACATGTGGATCTAGAAAAATTATTGCTCAAGACGCATTTCAGTCTTGTCGCAGTTTAACCGCAAAAAGGAACTTAAGTTTCTTCTTCACGCGAGTCAATCTTTTTTTCTATTCTTGACAGGAAATATTAAAATTCGTTGCATTAAGAATATAATAGATAACATCGTGAATAAATTATTATTGAAAACGGAAAAAAATATTTGTATCAATCAATTACTTATGACGATTATCAAAAAAAATATTTAAATTTAAATTATTAATACAAAACAATTTTTTAAAATTAATAAAAATGAAACAAAAAGAAATTAGTTAAATCAACTTTTGAATGCAACGTATTTTAATTCGAATTTTCGTAAAAATTAAAAATCGTAAAATAATTGTTTCGAAGAACTTTGATTAAATATAGTTTAACAAAATTTATTTATTCGTTAAACATTAGGAAATGAAACTGCGGGACTTCCTCTAGAATCCCCTTTCCGAGTTTAAAGATTGAATGATTTATATGACGAGCTGTGACGTTACAAATCGCTCCCCCTTTTCAGCACTTACAAGATAAGATATTAAAATCAATTCCAAAGTTTTCAAACTTTAAATTTAAGCCAACTTATTGTCAGAATTATACACAGACGAACCCTATTTTTTCATTTTCACGCCATTTCATTTAAAAATCAGTTTAAAATTGACATTAAATGACATTTCATTTTATTGATAATTAAAAAAAAATTTTTTAAATGTCAATAGAATATTTAACTTTATCCGTTATTTTTTATTTTTCCAAAATCATCTTTTCTGTTTTTATTTATTTCCATAATCATCTTTTTTGTTATTATTTTCAATTAAAAATAAATTTAAATAGAAAACAAAAAAAAATAAATTGAAAAATTAACCTTAAAGAAATTACGTTGAACAAGAATAAAAAATCCCCGTGAATTAAGGAGAACAATAGCGCTCTTAAGATTCAATCCCTTCCCGTCGAAAAAGGAGAGACAAAACTTCCCTCCGATACCGAAAAAAAACCACGAAAGGAGACGGATCAAATTTCTCTCGCAGCGAAAAAAAAATTGCTGACATTTAATAAAAAAAAAAATAAATATCAAAAACTCACCGGCAAACTTCTTATTCCCAGACGAACTTTCGAGTACTTCCTCATAAAAACTCGCCAAAGAACGTAAGCCATCTTTCTTCTTCTGATGATAAAATTGATAATATTCTCCGATGATATCCGTCAGATCGTCACCTTGAATCCTCAAGCACTGTCAAAGCGTCTCTTTCAAATGCTGACATCACGATTCACAACATCTGACATAGATCAGTCTTGACCACTGACGACTATCGTATTTCATTTCCTCTCGTGCCATAATTCTTCCCGTTTCACTTCTAAACTCGATTTTCAATTATTCCACTCATTACTCTTCTATTTCATCGTTTCACATCAGTATTTTCACTTTTCAAAAAAGAGTCCTTTATAACCTCAAAAATAATGCACTATTCGCAAAAAAAATTCACTAAAATATTTCCACACACACGTATGTCAAGGTCATTAAAACACTCCCGATTACCCGCATAGATTAGACTCGAAAAAAGTCAAATAATTGTCACTATTATCTCGAAAAATTTATCTCTTCATCGTCCTCTAAATCACGATTACGTACATCGAATAACCTTGCAATTTGTTCTGCAGTTTTCGCACGTTCAATACCAGTTTTATTACATAAACAAACCGCAAGCAATGAAGCATGGATCCAATTCATGAAAATCAAAAAGAAAAATTCTAATTGCGACACTGAACTTCAATTCCATTGTTTGTTCATAGGTTATGTTTCAATAATTATTTATCCAAATTAGTCGATTAGTTCGCTGGAATTCTAATTCTTAGAACAAAATTAGAAAAATCAAGGGCGAAATTTCGAGGGTAAAAAATATGGCGAACGAATTGTTTCTTTAACTTGCAAATTTTTTTAAGTAACGATTGTCGATAACCGCTTCCGCACACATAACTCGAGAAAAATAAACTGCCCTCGACTTGCGTAATATAATAATTACAAGAAGCAGGCATCACGAGGAAACAATGTAAACGCTCCTCCTCACTATTCACAACTTGCAATTTTCTTTGATTTACAATCCGACAAAAAACACATTCTTCAATGTTAATACATAAATAATTTCATTAATAAACATTACGACGATATCGCGATGACTCGAGAACACTATTAAAATACACGACACACGAGTTTTTCACACGACGATTTAACTAACACTGCGCGAAAAATGTTCATCTTGACAAAACGACCGTTAAAAAACTGCCAATTTCAAAAAACAAAATGGCGGAATGGAGGGAAAATTTTTTCCCGGAAAACTCATTTTTTTCTCCCCACTATTCAAATCACTCACGATAGATGTCACTAATCGTTTTTCCACACTATTCATACCATTTTTCTTTTGGTAATTTAGAAAGAAAATATTGGAAAATGGGGAAAATTTGTTCGCGCGCTTTTCTCCGCAAACATTAACCTCAAAAATCGATTTTTTTGATTAATGACATTAATGACAATTATTGAAAAAGAAATATTTCCTTGACAATTAAAACACTGACTTTTATTTCTAAATAACGTGAAACGATAAAGAAAATAAATGTAAAGAACGATGAAAACACTCACAGTTGACTGCAGCACTGCCGGGAAATAACTGACAATACAACACACGCAACCGGCTGTCCTCGCGGGTTCCGCGCGCCGTTCATCGAAACAAGGGGAACACGAACAGGAGCATGTTCAAAATCTGCAAAAAAAAAAGGAACATTGTAATTAAAAAATGGAACAGTTGAACCAAAGGGATTATTTAAATTATTCAATTATTATTTTTTGTTAATTTATAATTATAATTATTATAAATAATATATTAATATAGAAATTTAACTATAATTTAGACAAGAAATTTAAGTATAATTTACACATTAATTTAAATATAATTTACACATTAAATTCAAATTAAAAAATATAATTATTTAATAGAAATTATTAAATTATAGGTAGAAAATAATTGAATTTTAATTAATAATAAAAATAATAATTTTCGTTCCATTTTGTCAAATATTTCCAATATAATCTTATATATTAATAAATATATAAATAAATAAATTATTAATAAATTATAATTAATAAATAAATAATAATTAATAAATAATTATTAATAAGTTTACTATTATAAAATATAATTATAATAAATATTATAAATTAATATTAATAAATAAATAATAAATTAATAAAATAAAAATAATAATAATAATAATAATAAAATAAATTAATAATATTAATAATAAAAATAATAATTTTGATTCCTTTCTGTCAAATATTTGCAATATCTTTTCCTTTGCTTTTTTCTATAGAAAATAATTATCAACATTAAAATTACACAATAAAATTAATTAAAAAACATCAATGAACAAATTAATTAAGAGAAGAAGTTAATTAGGAAAATAATTGTAAATATTATTTGATAATAATATCAAAAATTATTATTTTAATTAAAATTATAATAATTATAAAAAGTATACTTTTTTTGAAAATGATTAATTCCATCGAATCTTTAAAATTCAAGCTTATAAATATTTATGCAAATAGAAACATTTCTTTTATTATTAAAATAAATTGAATGAATATTGAATTTCATGAAATCTAATAGTGAACATCAAAATGAGTTTCAATTAATATTGTAACTGCAAATTCAGTGCGATATATAGACTAATGAGGTATTTCTCAAGACCTCCTCAAATGGAACAATATAATTAATCCGTTATATATGTAGAGCATAATGAATAAGACATTAACTTACTAATTATTCAATGCAAAGAAAATTTTTCATATCTAAAATTAGTCGCGTAAATTAATAATTTAATTGAGTGAATATTTTAAACAACCGCTGCCAACAATAAAATTTCTATTCTAAATAAAAAAACCAGAAAATAAAAATTTAATTTTGCAAATATTCAAAATTATTTTTGCTTTTGATTTAATATTTCGAATTTTCGAATTTTATAAAAAAAAACAAATTAAATTTTAAATTCTTTTTTGTGGAAGCGCAAAGAATTTAGTTTCTAACATTTTAAACTATTAAAAGTTGCTTTTGAATAATAATTACAATTTTCAGTCAATAAAAAAACATTTATAATCTAAAACTTATTTTATTAACCAAAATGAATTTAAAATCTGTCTTTTTCTTTTAAAATACAAAATTGTAACAAAAGACTAACTTTTTTTTTATTGTCCGTCAAATTATTTCCTTAATGTTGAAAAAATAATTTTAAATTTAACAGTAAGAAAATAATTTAAAATTTAATATTAAGACAATAATAATTTAAATTCAATAGCAAGACAATAATTTTAAATTTAATAGCAAGACAATAAATTAAAATTTAATAATAAGACAATAATTTTAAATTCAATAGCAAAACAATAATTTTAAATTCAATAGCAAAACAATAATTAAAAATTTAATATTAAGACAATAATTTAAAATTCAAAAGCAGAACAATAATTTTAAATTCAATAGCAAAAAATAAATTAAAATTTAATATTAAGACAATAATTTGAATTTCAAAAGCAGAACAATAATTTAAAATTGAACTTCGAGTTAAAAATGAAAAAAATAAAGTTAAAATGAAATTTGAATAAAAATCAGCTCGAGAAATAAAATTGAAGAAAGGAAAAGAATAAACTCTTCTTTTCATACTCTGCATCGGCTACTTGAAAATACAATAGCCAATTGCGTGGGCGATTTACATTCAGAATTTTGCAGCTAGAGTACGATAACAAAGCATGTCTTCTCTCTTTTTGCCCCAAAAAAGAAAAATGCAATCCTATGCGCTTCTTTCACTAACGGTTGATATAACGAGATAATAATTCTTCGACAACTCAAACGTATATACATACTATATATATATACAAAAAATATATATATTTATTATCACCTCGAATCTTAAGTATGCGTGAAGATGTCTCTCATTTTGCCGCGTCACCTCTTTTGCAATACACAAGTATATAAATATATTTCTATTTGATTCAAGCGAATCTTTTTACAGAGCTAATAAAGACATTTCTTTCCCATATCCATTATCTATGTCTTTCTCTCTCTCTCTCTCTCTGTTTTCTAACGAGGATCGCGCATTATCAGCGTATTTATAAAAGACCCAAAAGAAAGCTCACCAGTTCATCAGGTGGAAGAAGATGAAGAAGAAAAAGGAGAAGTGAATGCTTGTCTTTCATGATTAACATCGTTGTCGTCGTCGTTGCTGTGATCCTCGAGATCTAAAAATTCTTTCTCCCTCTCTCTTGACTTCCTTTTCTTATTTTTCCTTAATTTGCGTCCTCTAAATTTATTTTTCCTTAATTTGTCCTCTAAATTCCTTTTTTTATTTGTCCTCTGAATTCCTTTTCTATTTTTCCTTGAATTGTCCTCTAAATTCTCCTTTATTTTGACCCTTGTCTTCTAAGTTCCATAGTGAATGACGATGAAAATCAATTCTGCAACAAAAAATTATTTTCAAATAACAGAATTTTTAATTATTTATGGTTTTAACAAATTAATTCTTACTACTTTATTTACTACACTAATTTTTTTATTATTTATTCAGAGTTGTCACAAATATTTAATTTTATTTTTCCCTGATTTCCAGACAAAATTTTGACATTTTCCCTGACCCTAAAGAATATTCTGATTCACTCCAAAAATTATTAGATACTTTAATTATTATTATTTTTAATTATTCTCCCACTGTCAAAAATAATCCCACTATTTTTATTATACGAATTATAAATGAATAAAGTTTAAACTTTACACGAATTTTACTAATTTCAAATTTTATTATTTTTTCTCATTTCATTCAGTTCGGCCTGACTAATAAAATTGAACAATAGGAACAAAACACTGAAAGAAAATTGTAAAGATTACAAAATATTTCCTCCGGTGTGTATTTTCTCTCTCGAATAAAAGAGAATAAAAGAAACGATTCAGAAACGAAAATAAATAAAAAAAAAAAAACAGAAAAACAGAAAAAAAAAGAAAAAAACACAGAAAAAAAGTGCATTTCAAAAGACCCTATTGGTCAGCCAACCCTCTTTCATTCCATATAGTATCAATGGTATATCTACACGCAGGTTGCGGATACATTCACATTTACATTTTCTTGAACGTACACACAAAATGCTAATACCATAAGAGACAATAGGCGTACCTTTATCACGTGACCAACACGTGAGTACCCTCAAAAAAAAAGAAGACCCTCAACTTGAAACTCACTCTCTCTCTCTTTTTCTCTCCTCATTCATATCGTGGTTCGCTCATTCTATAGATGACACGAAGACGTTTTTTTTCTAAATGAAGAGCCATGAAAAAAATCAGCAAGTGCTTTGATACAGAAAAAAATATCACGTTCAAGCAAAAAGCATGTTTCATTGATTTTTTTTCCCAATTGTTTTCTTTTTATCTATTTTTATTTTCTCAATCGTTTCCTTTTCTCCCTCGTCGAGTGCACATAAGACTTATGAAATTATCCAGTCAAGGTCAATCTTTAATGGAATCACAACACTGTAGAGAGAGTGTAATTGAATAATTTTCTTATTTGATACATTGTTGTACTGACCGTAGAATTGATTTTGATTCCTAGCGTAATTTAAAAGTTACTTTTTATTACAGGCGGAGAAATAAAATTTTATCGGCTAGTTTTTGTCTGCAAAAGAAAATTTATATTTTTGGGTAAGACTCCGTCAGAAAAAAAGCGATTTGCAAGTGGTCTTCCAATTTCTTTGAAAGCTTGGGAAATAGAAGTCTTATATGAGTTAAATTAAACCCTAAAAGGATTTTGAAAAATTTTCAAAATGGCGGCCGCTACGCCATATTGAAAATGAGTGTTGCGTTTTTTTCAAAAATTAATAACTCTGAAACTTTTTGATCGATTTTAATAAAATTTACAGGCGGTATAGTTAAAAATACGTAGTTTAATTTTACATTATGACCAAAAAAAAATTTCCAAAATTTGTCAAAAAAAAAGTCAAAAAAATTTTTTGAATTAGTTTTTAGTTCAGTTGGCCTAATTTTTGAATTTTCTAATAAGTAGATATCGATTCCTTGTAATTTCACCTTTCATTTCATAAAAAAAAATTTATGGAGACTCTAATAGTTCTCGAGATATTGCGACTTTAGTGGGAGCGCGTACCGCGGAATTAAACTACGTAGCGAGGCGGAATATGAAGCGAGCGTACAAACGTGCACAATAGGGTATCCGTAACAATGCGACTTTCGAATTTTGTTTACGCCACCCCCCAGTTTCGTTCCAATAAAATAAAAAAAAATTTCCTAAAATTTGAAGCCGATTGATTAATATTAACACGTGCCAGTGATCGATCGAAATTTTCAATTAAAAATACACAGGAAAACTGCACTTTTTAAAAAAAATTCATAAGTTTTTTAATTCTCATGCAAAAAATTCTCCAGGTCACATTTGCCTTCATTTTTAGCTGCACTATAAGATAGCACTTTGCCAAAAATTCAATTTTCAAAAAAATTTTAAATGGCGGATGTTTAAAGTGGGTCATAAAAATGCACCACAATATATCCAAGGTTTTAACACATAAGTGTTGTCAAAAATTCAAAAAAATTTCTTACTCGGGGCTATTTTCGATCGTTTATCATGAATCTGATATCAGAAATTAATTTTTCAAAATTTTCGATCCAATATGGCGGGTTTAAAATTTTGA